AGACAGAAACTCACCGAGTAAAGTCCTCTCCTCCCCGACTACACAACTTACATTCCCCGCCGCCTTACAGCTCGGCTGTTCCTGTCTGCTGGGCGTAGACATCGCTGATTGGTCAGCATTCGTGTGTCGTTCATCCTCCTTGAAGTCATGTGATCAGCGGGCTGGAGTGGATTATTGAGGCTTTGTGCCTGGCTGGGTTTGGTGATGGTGCCTGTAGAGCAGGGGTCAGCAACCTTTTACACACCGAGTGCCATTTTTGCGACCATCAAACAACCGAGTGCCATTGAACAATAGTGCACCATAGTATTAGTAAATTTCAGTTTTTGCACTCATAGTTGTACTGCTAATAATAAGTTAAACTCACTAATTATTTGAATGTGTTTAACTTGCCATTAGCAGCACAACTGTGAGTGAAAAAATTTAATAACTATTGCACACACAAAATATATTTACATGTACTAAAAAAGGAAACTGGACTTGCAGTTTTAGTGTGATCCATGTTTCAGTATTACCTTAAAACTCCAGACCAGCCCTAAACACTGCACTTTCATTAAAAAAACAGTTTTTTTACATGATGCCCTGCAGACCTCAGACCTGCACCAACGCACAGCAGACCTCAGACCAGCACCAACGCACAGCAGACCTCATACCAACACAAACACACAGCAGACCTCAGAACAGCACCAACGCAGGCAGACCTCAGACCAGCAACAACACACACACTTTAGCTTGCATCAGCCCCAAACAATGTATGATTAATAATAGGGATGCACCGATATATCGGCCGCCGAAACATATCGGCCGACAATGGCAGTTTTGGCTAAATGCAGAAAGTGCCATTTTGCTGCCGATACATCGGCGCATCCCACCCCCGCCGGGTGCTGCTCTGTGTCCCAGCGGGGAGGAGAGAAAGTGACAGACCTCAGACCACCACCAATGCCCTGCAGACCTTAAACCAGCACCAATACATAGCAAAACTCAGACCAGCACCAATGCCCTGCACACCTCAGATCAGCACCAATACATGGCAGACCTCAGACCAGCACCAACGCACGGCAGACCTTAGACCAGCACCAACGCACGGCAGACCTCAGACCAGCACCAACGCACAGCAGAGTTCAGACCAGCACCAACGCACAGCAGAGCTAAGACCAGCACCAATTCCCTGCAGAGCTCAGATCAGCACCAATAAATGGCAGAATTCAGATCAGCACCAACGCACAGCAGACCTCAGACCAGCACCAACGCACACACTTTAGCTTGCATCAGCCCCAAACAATGTATGATTAATAATAGGGATGCACCGATATATCGGCCGCGGAAACATATCGGCCGAAAATGGCAGTTTTGGCTAAATGCAGAAAGTGCCATTTTGCTGCCGATACATCAGTGCATAACTCCCCCCCCCGCCGGGCGCTGCTCTGTGTCCCAGCGGGGAGGAGAGAAAGTGACAGCCGGCCGAGCACTGCGAGAGAAGAGCGCTGTGAGCGGCCGTAATCTCTTCTCCCACACCGCTCAGCTGCCTATCATAGTGCGGCAGAGTGGTGTGTGGGTGGAGACAGCGCTGTCACAGGAGACTGAGCTCTCCTCCCTGCTCCGCTCGCTCAGCCTCATGTGACCTCCTTCCGTCCTGCGTGCTGCATGTAAAGAATCCACCAGGTAGGACCTTGAGCAGATCGTCGACGGCATCCTCAGCGCGGCTCCGCGCATGAACGTCATCTGGCCACGTCATGGAGGTGGGTGGGACTTCAATTTGACAGCCGGCTCGAGCGATGCAAATACGATGCGATGTCAAATGCAAACAAACAAATGAGTTTGCGTGCCAGCAGACGTGGCCTCGCGTGCCAAGCTGGGCACGCGTGTCGGGGGTTGCCGACCCCTGCTGTAGAGCGTGTCCATCCTCCACCTGCCTTATTATAGGTGCAGGACAGACTCACTGCTTTCCTCCAGTGCTGGACATGGACCCAAGCCGCTCCTATACGGCTACATTTTCCTACGTACGAACATTCATATGAAAGATCTTGCCAGAACATTCCATAACGCCATCAGAGACTTGACCAATATGATCCGAAATATCATTTAATTTTAACATTGGCTTTTGGAATGAACGAAGTCTGCGGAACAAGCACATTCACTGCTAGAATTTAATTATCAATCCTGCCTATCAATTTTTTTATTCTGTTACTAAGGTCAACGGTAGTCACCAATTTGACCCAATTAGCTATAAGAAAATTGAATGGATGTTCCAAGAACAGGTTTAATTTTTTTCCCCCCCCAATGGAGTTCTGCTGGTGTATGGCCAGCTTTAACCCTTTCCCTGTGAGACTTTTTTTAGCTTTTCAAACTAGTGTTAAAATGCATATTTGAGACCTGAAGATTCCTTAACCCCACAGAATAATATATTTCCTGAAAGCAGAGACCCTCTAAAATTCAATGATGGCAGTTGCAATTTTTTTTTTTTTTACACACACCCTGGAATAGTAGCGCAACTGTTTATCAAACCCAAATTTTCACAAAAGGGTGAAGAGTGTGGAGAACGCAGAAGTGAAAGATATAAGACAACATAGCTGAACTGGACAAATCCTCCAATTCAGCTCACTTTCCAGTTCAGCTATGTTGTCCTAGATCAGGGGTGCCCACAATTTTTTGTGTTAAGATCTACTTTTCAAATGAAGAGCTACATGAGATCTACCAACGAAAAAAAAAAAACACCCTCGCTCTCCTGGCTGTCTTTTCTATATCTCTCTCTCCTGGCTGTCTCTACTTGCTCTCTCTCCCCACTCTCTCTCATGGCCCACCTTGCTGTATTTTGCAAACAGTGCAGTGCAACCTAATATTCTTTATGTAATACATAGCACTGCAACCTCCAGTATCCACCAGAAAGGTGTCAGGGAGTTTGGCTCAGCAGACTCAGGCTAATGTAATGTGTGCACAGATAAATAAATATACCAAATTGGAATAAAGGGGCCACCATTCACACCCTACCAGCATCAGCTTTGAGAGCTACTGGTAGATCTCGATCTACCTAATGGGCACCCCTGTCCTAGATTGTTCACTTCTCCTGCATTCTCCAAACTCTTCACCCTTTTGTGAATAAGCTGGTCAGTAAAAAAAACACACTTAATTTTAGTGTACATAAACACACTGCCTGGCCACAAATAAAGAACACTTTAATATTTTGTAGGACCACCTTTAATTCTGGCACACATTTGCTGTGGCATGGTTTTGATAAGCTTATGCAATGTCACATTTCATTTCCATCCAGCGTTAATTTCTACCAAGCTATGATGCTCCCATCGGACCACTGCATGAAGTCTTCTCCAGCACATCACAATGATTCTCAAATGGGGTTAAGGTCTGGTGGTCAATCCATGTGTGAAATTATATATTTTGCTCCCTGAACCGCTATTTCACAATTTGAGCCCAATGAATCCTGGCATTGTCATCTTGGAATAGGTCTGTGCCATCAGTGAGCAAGAAAAACCTGATTCAGTATATTCAGGTAGGCAGCTGAAATCCTTTTTGGGGCACAGAACGTTGCTGAATCTTGCCCTATTATCCAATGGAAGGCTCAATCCATTTTTTTTTTTAGCCAAATCCAGGTGGTGACTTTTTTGGGAACGGGCAGTGTAGATAACTTTATTTTGCCAAAAAGCTGTGTCATTACGCCAAGTAAAAACATGTCAAGCGTCACAATTGTGTGAAAAACCACTGTACTAAAATGTTTATATATATATATATATATTCACAAAAACTGACAAGATAGAAAACCCAAATAGGGTGGGTGCTGAAATGACCGCGGATGCCTCCGCAAAATAAGTCCAAAAAAAAAAGAAGGTGTCATATCAGATCAAAGCAGCTCTGACACCTTTGAAGTCAAGAAACATTGCCTCTTCTACATGCTGGAGTGCTTGACCTTTTTTGTCACTCCAGCATGTGGCACAATCTTTTGTGCCTAGGCATACACATTTTCCATGGGGAAGGTGGACTTTTTTTGAGTTGTTCTTATATTAAAATATTGCAATTTTGTAAAGTGCAGGGGGGGGGGGGGGGGGGATAAAAAGGTCGAGGCATCACG